GTGCTGCTCTCCCCTGGCCTATAAGGTTTCCACTGAAAAGCCAGACATATTGGAGCTTCTTTAGATGTTTTCTTTTTTCTTTTTACTTGCTTCCATTCTTTATTTATCACCATTGGCATCTTGAGTTTAACCTATTATTTGGGTTAAACTGGCTTGATGTTCTATGAATGTCTCGTGCCTGAATATTGCTATCTTTTGCTAGATTTGGAAAATTCCTTGCTATTATTTCTTCCATTCTTTTTTTTCTTTCTTTTTTTTTTTTGAGACAGAGTCTCACTTTATTGCCCTTGGTAGAGTGCTGTGGCATCACAGCTCACAGCAACCTCCAGCTCTGTTGCCTCAGCCTCCCGAGTAGCTGGAACTACAGTAGCTCGCCACAAGGCTCAGCTATTTTTTGTTGCGGTTTGGCCGGGGCTGGGTTTAAACCCACTGCCCTTGGTATATGGGGCTGGTGCCCTACCCACTGAACCAGAGGCTCCGCCTATTGCTATTGTTTCTTTGAATGAACTTTCTGTCCTAGTCTCTAGGGTCAATAACCCTTAAATTTGCCCTTTTGAAGCTATTTCCTAGATCTGGAAGGGTATTTTTTTTTTTTTTTTTTTTTTTTAGGCAGAGTCCTACCCTGCTACTACCTTAGGCTAGAGTGCTGTGGCATTGCCAAGCTCATACAACCTCTAACTCTTGGGTTCAGGCAATCCTCCTGCCTCAGCCTCTCACGTAGCTAGGACTGCAGGGTCTCACTCTTACATAGGCTGGTCTTGAACTTCTGAGCTCAAGGAATCTTCCTACCTCAGCATCCCAAAGTGCTAGGATTACAGACATGAACTACCACATCTTTTTTCCTTTTTTCTCTTTCTGCCATGTATCTTCAAACAGCCTGTCTTCAAGCTACTTCTTTCTTGTGCTCAATGATTTCACTATCGAGAGACCGGAGCATTTCTCCATTTGTCAATTGCATTTTTCACCTCCAGAATTTCTGCTTAATTTTTTTTTTCATGATTTCAGTCTCTGTTAAATTTCTCTGATAGACTTCTGAATTGTTTCTCTGTGTTGTCTTGAAGTTTATTGAGCTTCTTCAGGACAACTATTTTGAATTCTTTGTCTAAAAGGTCACAGATCTTCACCCCTCCAGGATTAGTCTCTGTTACATTATTTAGTTCATGTGGTGAAGTTATATTTTCCTGGACCTTCATAATGCTTGTGGATGTTTGTCGATGCTGGAGCATTGAAGAGTTAGGTATTTTTTCAATCTACAGAGTCTGGGCTTGTTTGAACACATCCTCCTTGAGAAGGCTTTCCAGATATTCAAAGAGAACTAAGTGTTGTGATCTAGGTCTTTGATCAGTGTAGCCGTATCAGCAGTGAGGATGCTCCAAACCCAGCAATGCTTACTCGTACAGACTCCTGGTAGTATCTTGGCAGGCTTGGGTAAGACACAGGAAAGTTTCCTGGAAAATTCCCTGCAAAAGGTATCAGCATTCAGGCACAAGAAGTTCATAGAAGGGCGAAGTCTTTCACTCTCTTCTCTTACTGTCTGTGCCAAGCCACTGGAGTTGGAAGAGGAGTAATATGGGCACTCCCTCATGGCCACCACAGCTAGGACTGCACCGTGTCACACCTAAAACCAGCCCAGGCTCAGTGAAGGCAACACATGACTGTCTTCTCTGCCCCTTTCAGTGACCCTTTCCTTGACAGAATGTTAAAGCCAGGTATAGCCCGCACTCGCCTGATTTTTGGTCCTTCTGAAGGTGCTTCTTTGCACGGATAGTAGTTGGATTTAGTGTTCATGTGGAGGGACTACTGCTGGAGGTTTCTTCTTTCACCCCCTTCAATCTGCTTCTTACCCAGAGAAAGCTGAGGGTCCAGAAGCTACTTATCCCCCCAATCTTAAATAGTCTCTGTTACTTTTAGCCCAAACTTATACAACTTCTTTAAAGAACATTTTGGGACTTTTATGAACCTGATTGAACTTTACTCCATGTCCTGAAAGCCACATCTGTAATTCTTTTTTTTTTTTTTTTTTGCAATTTTTGGCTGAGGCTGAGCTTGAACCCACCACCTCCAGCATATAGAGTCAGTGCCCTATTCCCTTGAGCCACAGATGCTGCCCTACATCTGTAATTCTTTTT